GGGAAATTCCTAAAATACAAATCTTATTATCTTTAAAGAGAATTAAATTCTGCTAGTAAGTTAACTTGAAGTCATTTATTCTGCTTAAAAATCCTTCATTTTCTGGGCACGATGTCTCACGCCTATAATGCCAGCATTTTAGGAGGCTGAGGCAGAAGGATCGCTTGAAGCCAGGAGTTTGAGACCAGCCTGGGCTACATAGCAAAATACCATCTCTACAAAATTTTTTTTTAATTAGCCAGGTCTAGCGGTAAATGCCTGTAGTCCCAGCTACTCAGGAGGCTGACACGGGAGGATCGCTTGAGCCCAGGATTTCAAGGCAACAAAGTAAGAACCTGTCTCTAAAAAAAAAAAGAAAGAAAGAAAAAAAGAAAAAAATCCCCCATTGGATTCCCATTTTTTCAAGACTAAGTTTAAACTCTCTTGATCCTGTTTCATTTGTCTAAAATGCCCCCCTCTCCTACCTGGTTTTGAGTTATCCTTTAATCTCAGCTCGGGGTATTATCTCATATAGGAAGATTTTCTAGAAGTTTCACAAATTCTTGGCTAGGTGATTTTCTCTATGTCTCCCGTATCATCCTATATCATTTGTCTGTCACTGCCTCTGTCATACTGTCTTGTAACCATCTCTTTATTTGATCTCACATGCACTGTACATGTGAATTCCTTGAGAATATCTGCCAGGTCTTGCTGGTTTGTTTGTCCCCAGTGTCTAGCATATAGTAGGTTTCCAATGTTTGATGAATGGATGAATAAATTAGTCGAAGAACTAATTTAACTTGGTAAGAGACAGAAGACCAAAGAGATGACATCTGAGCTATACCTTGAATGATCCATGTGATGTATCAGGAAGAGAAAAGGGGAAAGAATAAAAGCCTTCCTGTCCAAGGGAACACTACCTGCAAAGACACAGAGACTAGAACAAGCCCACCAAGATGTAATAAATTGTACTTTGTATCAGAAACTGGACATTTGTCAGAAATAAAGCTCAATCTCAGTATAAATGTTTTCCACATTGTGCAAGATGAGTCTTAAACTAGCATTGCAGAATTCTTATAATAGGACATGTTTATTATTTTGTAGCCTAATGCAGTTTGGGTGGGTTATAGCAGTTAAGTAGCTCCGTTATTCCTTGCCATATATATATTTTTCTCAATCCAAAGTTATTATTTGAGCCGCCTCAAAAACTTGAGGGCTATTTTTTTTTTAGTGTTTTTGTATATGTTAGGATGAGGGATAAATATTATTGTCAACTACCAGAACAAAGTTTTTACTTTCCAGAGTTAAATGTTAGCAAATTTTTTAATAGATCTCATACCATGCAAACTCTCCAGAATGGAATTGCACAATAAGATATATGAATAACTGAAGCATTAAAGACAGAAATCAAGTGAGCTGATATTCTTTTATTTAAATTGACTGTCAGTGAGACCTTAGTCAACTTCCTTCTATTAGGTTGGTGCAAAAGTAATTGTGGTTTCAGACCGTGAATTTTAAATCATTATAACTAGGCTCAAACACATCTTCATTAATCAAAATAGAAACCATTACAATCAACACATTTTTGCCAATGAGAAATAAGTTTGTTTATTCCTGTAGTGTAAAAATCCACAGGATTCAACAAACACTTGGAAAGCATTTTCTGCATCCTGCTGGTTGTAGAAGCGTTTTCCCTGTAAAAAGTTGTCGAGATGCTTGAAGAAGTGGTAGTCAGTTGGCGCGAGATCAAGTGAATATGGCGGATGAGGCAAAACTTCGTTGCCCAATTCGTTCAACTTTTGAAGTGTTGGTTGTGCAACGTGCGGTCAGGTGTTGTCGTGGAGAAGAATTGAGCCCTTTCTATTGACCAATGCCAGCTGTAAGCACTGCAGTTTTCGCTGCATCTCATTGATTTGCTGAGCGTACTTCTCAGATGCAGTGGTTTCACCAGGATTCAGAAAGCTGTAGTGGATCAGACCAGCAGCAGACCACCAAACAGTGACCATGACCTTTTTTTGGTGCAAATTTGGCTTTGGGAACTGCTTTGGAGCTTCTTCTTGGTCCAGCCACTGAGCTGGTCATTACCAGTTGACGTATAAAATCCACTTTTGGTCACATGTCACAATCCAATCAAGAAATGGTTCATTGCTGTTGCATACAATAAGAGAAGATGACACCTCAAAACAACGATTTTTTTGATTTTCAGTCAGCTCATGAGGCACCCACTTATTGAACTTTTTCACCTTTCCGATTTGCTTCAAATGCCAAACAACTGTAGAATGGTCAACGTTGAGTTCTTTGGCGACTTCTCATGGCGATTTTAAGAGGATCAGCTTTGATGATTGCTCTCAACTGGTCGTTGTCAACCTCCCATGGCCGGCCACTGCACTCGTCTTCAAGGCTCTTGACTCCTTTGCAGAACTTCTTGAACCATCACTGCACTCTACATTTGTTAGCAGTTCCTAAGCCAAATGTGTTGTTCATGTTGCAAGTTGTCTTTGCTGCTTTACGACCCATTTTGAATTCGAATAAGAAGAACATCGCTCAAATTTGCTTTCTGTCTAACATCATTTCCATAGTCTAAAATAAATATAAAATAAACAGCAAGTAATAAGTCATTAGCAACAAAAAAAAGCAAAGTGAGAAATGTACATTAAAATGATATATAACATAACCACAGTTATTTAAGAATGTATTCCAAGAGCAAATGGTAAATTTCAACAATGGCTAAAATCGCAATTACTTTTGCACCAACCTAATACTTCCACGTATCCAAATCTTACAAAAGCAGATGTTCATTATTCCTGTCCTCAGCACATTGCATTAAATCATTCAGTTACATTTTAAGCCATTATGAAATCTAAAGCTGTCTGTATCAACAGTCTTTCGAACTTAGCACCTATTAATAAGTTTGAAGGCCTTGTCTTCTTAGAATATAGGAATAAAGAGAGCCATGCTGAGTATCTTTCTTTCTTGCTACTGACAAGGACTTAGGATGGGAAAATGACTGTGCTAACTATTGATACTTGTGGCCAACAGTTCTTTGTAGATTTTTTGTTGATTTTAGTGGTGATAACATTTATGTAACATAAAACTTACCATTTTAACCATTTTTAAGTGTACAGTTCAATGGCATGAAGTACATTCACATTGTTATGTAACCATCACCACTATCCATCTCCAGAACATTTTGGTCTTCCCAAACTGAAACTCTATACCAATTAAACACTAGATCCCCATCCCCTCCTCCCTCAACCCCTGGCCATCACCATTCTACTTTCTGTCTCTATGATTTTGACTACACTGGGCACTTCATGTAAGTGGAATCATATGATGTTTATCCTTTTGCCACTAGCTTATTTCACTTAGTATAATGTCTTCAAAGATTTTCCACGTTGTAATATATATCAGAACTTCCTTACTTTTCAAGGCTGAAGAATATTTCTGTGTGTATATACCACATTTTCCTTATCTGTTAATGGATACTTGGGTTGCTTCCATCATTGATTACTATGAATAATGCTGCTATGAACATGAGTATACAAATATGTGTTCAAGTCTCTACTTTCAATCCTTTTGGACATATACCCATAAGTGGAATTGCTGGTTCATGTAATAATTATAAGTTTAATTGTTTGAGGAACTGCCTTGTAACTTTTTTAAATGTAAGGGAAATCGAGGAAGAGCAGTAGGTAGAAGGAACATGAGTAGTAGTAGTTATTGCTGTAGTGGTATGACTTAAAAATTCTAAGATCTAAATTTTTTTTTTTTTTTTTTTGAGACAGAGTCTCACTCTTTTGCCCGGGCTAGAGTGAGTGCCGTGGCGTCAGCCTAGCTCACAGCAACCTCACACTCCTGGGCTCAAGCAATCCTTCTGCCTCAGCCTCCTGAGTAGCTGGGACTACAGGCATGCGCCACAATGCCCGGCTAATTTTTTCTATATAGTTTTAGTTGTCCAATTAATTTCTTTCTATTTTTAGTAGAGACGGGGTCTCACTCTTGCTCAGGCTGGTTTCGAACTCCTGAGCTCAAACAATCCGCCTGCCTCGGCCTCCCAGAGTGCTAGGATTACAGGCGTGAGCCACCGCGCCCAGCCCCTAAGGTCTAAATTTTCAATCTATTCTTAGCCACCTGTGAAATATATGACCTTAGGTTAAGTGACTTATCCTGTTTAAACCTCTTTTTTCGTCTGTGAAATGAACATAATAATACCTTATTAGATTTTTGTTGGATTAAATGAGATGTGTGATGTTATTTAGTAACTTATATTAATAAAATGTTAATAAACATTTACTAAATTAATGGGGCCAGCTGCCAGAAAAACTCATCCCTATGTGATCTTTGATTGTTAATCCCGGTTAGTGAACTATTCAAAATCCCAGCAAAGTCATTCTCTTATGATCTGAGCTGGTGTAGAGCTTATATTTGATCTGCCACCCCAGGCCAGATTAATTCCAGATAAAGAGCCATCCTAGGAAGTTTATTATGATCCCAGGCACTATGGGCCTCCCTACCAGTGACTTATACCTCAGGTTCATTTGTGAGTTAATGTTATATGTGTATATACAAACCAGACCCTCTGGTCCCAAAGCATGGTGCAAAGCTCCAGGATAGCTCCAAAATAGCTTCAACCTCCGGAAGCTGTTGGAGTGGCTTAGAAGCTAGAAACTTAGCAGATTCTAGCTAAGCTGGAAAACTTAGCAGATTCTAGCTAAGCTGGAAAACTTAGCAGATTCTAGCTAAGCTGGAAAACTTAGCAGATTCTAGCTAAGCTGGAAAACTTAGCAGATTCTAGCTAAGCTGGAAAACTTAGCAGATTCTAGCTAAGCTGGAAAACTTAGCAGATTGTAGCTAAGCTAGAAACTTAGCAGATTCTAGCTTCAGACACTAACTTCAGACACTTCAGAGTGTCTGAAGCTAGAATCTGCTAAGTTCTCCCTTCAAATTCAGGTGTCAAAAGGAAAGATTCAGTATCACTATAGCCATGGATCCCAGTACAAAGCTAAAAATCTCTCTGGATGCTCTTTGACAACTACGGATTATGGTGTAGACATGGCCAAGTCCAAGAACCACACCACACACAACCAGTCCCAAAAGTGGCACAGATACAGCATCAAGAAACCCCAGTCACAAAGATATGAATCTATTAAGGGGGTGGACCCCAAGTTCCTGAGGAACATGTGCTTTGCCAGGAAGTACAACAAGAAGGGCCTGAAGAAGATGCAAGCCAACAACCCCAAGGCTATGAGTGCACATGCTGAAGCTATTCAGTCCCTCGTAAAGCCCAAGGAAGTTAAGCCCAAGGTCTCAAAGGGCATAAGCTGCAAGCTCAGTAAACTCACCTACATCGACCACTCGAAGCTTGGAAAGTATGCTCGTGCACACATTGCCAAGGGTCTCAGGCTCTGCCAGCCAAAGGCCAAGGATCAAACCAAGGCCCAGTCCACAGCTTCAGCTGCAACTCCAGCTTCAGTTCCAGCTCCAGCTCAGGCTCCCAGAGGTGCCCAGGCCCCCATGAGGGCTCCAGAGTAGAGGCCTGTGTCTGCCAACATAAGGACAGAAAGACTAACTGCCTATATGGGGTAGGGTCCTCCTATACTATTTGTACAAATAAACCTGAGGCAGTGTTTGTGTGTATGTATGTATAAATTAATTAATTAATTTAAAAACATAGAAATCTCTCTGTACTTACTTTTAGATCCTAGGATCTAGAAATCAGTAGCTAAGTAGGTCAAAGCCCAAAAATACAGACTCACTTCTCCAGCCCTGGAAACAATGAAATTTTCTAAATTATGCAAATACCTTATATAAATCAAGTCCTGTATTACTTATTGGTTTGATTTTTTTCCTTCCTCTTCTTTCTCTTTGCCTCCTATTTTCTTTTCCTTTTTTAAAATTAGTAATAAAGATAGGTTCTGACTAGAGGATTGAAGGAATTGGTCGTGATTCTCGAAACTATTATTCTTGCTAACACTAATTAAAATTCCTGAGCCAAAAGTGATTGTCATCCAGAGTAGTTTGAATACTGACTTCACACAAAAGGTTATTGGTGCTCTTAAAGTCACTAAATCATTTAAGTTAATGAACCCAAAATCAAAGGCTAGCAGTCCTATGGAATGATTGGGAAGGTCCTTCTTGTTTTAAAAATGATGTGCTCATTGTAGAAAACTTGGAAATATTCAGAAAAGTATAGCTAAGGGAATAAAAATCGTAATCAGTTCTAACATTCTGAAATAACAAATACTTTATATTTTTGTATGTATTCTTTCCATCTTTTCTATTGCTATGTATACATCTTAACATAAATAAGATTATACACTGCATGTGCAAATTTACATGTTTTTAAAATATGTATCAAAGAATTTTCCTATGTTGATGAATATCTTTATAAATATTACTTCAGCCTGCATAATAGTTTATCCTAAGCATAGATCATTGTTTATTTAAATATCTTATATTAATATTATTGATCTTTTGGTTTCTTTCCCCTTTTTTACTAATGTAATCAACTCTGAAATAAACAAGTGCGTAAAGATGTTATCCGTTTTCCTAGGGTACATTTCTAGAAGTGAAATTGCTGGGTCATTGGATGTGAAAATGTATAAGATTTGGCTTTCCTTTTAAAGAAAATTATATTTGAATTGTTAAAGGATTGATGAAACATCAACTGAACACATCTTTAATGACTATATAGCAACTCATATTCAAATAATCTCTGCAAGCTTTACTATGAATTTACTGAATATAATATTTTATTTCAGGCACCAGGATGCATCTCTTCTTTCTGTCTCCTATTCCTTGGAACAAATATCAGGAGGTCTGATCGAGCCCATTTACAAGCTGTGTCAGACAAGCACTCATGCCCGTCTTGTTTATGACTGCCTGCTCACCCCATTGCTCCCAATATTTACATTTTCCTTCTTTTCTCTTCTTTCAGATGGAATGGGGAGAGTCCTTGCTCAAGATGTATATGCAAAAGACAACCTACCCCCCTTCCCGGCATCAGTAAAAGATGGTTATGCTGTCCGAGGTAAATATTTTGATTTTCTTGAGTATCATCAGACTCACATTGTATTTTTTTCAGATTTTTGGCTCAGTCCAGGCACCCAGCAACTGTTACATCTGTTTCCCCATGGTTGTGAGAATAACTTCATTCACAGATAACTGTGTTAATCTACACCTTTATATTTTCTGGCACAAACTTGATGAAAACTTTTCAGTTAAATTACTATAGTTACATGAAAATCCTTACTTACAAATAAATATGTAGGAATTAAATAAAAACACTATACTAGGGTTTTTTATTTTTCTATTTTATTTTTTTAATTCTTTTGGCACCTATATATGCCAGACAGCAGACAGTGGTGGTCTGGAAGTTTTCCAAATGTTTTCTAGTTGAAAACATCTATGTGGTCTCCTATTTTAAGCTCAAACATCAATAAAGGGTTTCAAGAAAAGCAAGCATGAGGGAACCCTCCAATTCACTAAAAGGTACCATATGTCAAAGTTCTGGAGCCCCAGATAGTATCAGCAGCTCAATCCCTCAAAGATGTCTGAGATTACATAAAGCTTAAAAGTAAATGATAAATAGCACTGGCCGGCCTAAAGTCCAATCTAAGAACCCAGAATGAAAATTCAACTGAATTGCTAGTAACTATTATTGTTTTTGTTTTGATATGTACAAGAAGATGTTTTGAAATATGTATACAGTATGGAATTGTTCACTTGAGCTAATTAACATATGTATTACCTCACACATTTATCATTTTTTGTGCTGAGACTTAGAATCTACTCTCTTAGTGATCTGCAAACCACAATACATTGTTATTAATGTCATTGGTTATTAACCCAGGGCTGACATCTTTGAAGAAATACCTAAAAAACAGTTTTCAGCTTATCAGAGCTATTAAGAATGCCAGTTCCTTTTTAATGGTCAGTTATGGAGTCTCTTACTTGGTTTTGTTTTTGCTTTTTTTTTAACTACATCTAGCCATTAAAATATAGGTTAAGCATCCCTAATCCAAAAATATGGAATGCAAAATTCTCCAATCTGAAACTTGAAACTTTTTGAGCACTGACATGACGCCACAAGTGGAAAACTTCACACCTGACCTAGTGTGTTAAGTCACAGCCAAAACAGTCAAAACTTTGTTTCATGTACAAAATTACTTAAAATATTATATAAAATTACCTTCAGGCTATGTGTATAAAGTGTATATAAAACATAAATAAATTTTGTGTTTAGACTTGGGCCCTGTCCCTAAGATATCTCATTATTTATATGCAAATATTTTAAAATCCAAAAAAATTCAAAATCCAAAATACTTCTGGTCCCAACATTTGGATAAGGGATACTAAACCTGTAATTTCCTTTTTCTTATAATTAAATACATTCATTTATCTCCTCCATGTTCCATCACTGTCTCTTAACTGTATCTTTCTGTGCTGAAGACAGTATAGCAAATCATTAAGGCTATGGGCTTTGAGCAAAGTTCAAGTGATGTGGGTTCTAGTACCAGTTCCATCTGTGTAACTTTGAGCAAATCACTTAAATTTTTGAGCATCCACTTGTACTCACCATCAAATTGGTACTAACTGATCAACACTAGGGTGATCACATGGCAGTAATACTCTCCAGGGATTGGGGGATGGGGGGGTAAATCCACAACTAAAGGACATGGGGAGCATTGTAGGGGGGAAGGGCATGCCT